TCATTCCAGGAGCAAACCAAGCACCATCGTCTGGTATCGTCCGGGCATGACTCAGATCTAGCGCAACGCTACCCGTCAAATCGACCAAGGAGAGATCACCTGCAGGTGATATAGAGAGTAATCCTAGAAGCAGGTGTGACGTGCCACTTCTTCCAAGCAAGTTTGCAATCGGTGTCAACCTATAACATTGAGTGGGAGCGAATGAGGATGACGACCTCTTCAGGCTGTGGCCTGTGGAATAACTCAACGATGTTTGAAATGACTCATTCCGGAGTAGGCGCTGATGAACAATGTTATAACGGTCTCTGAATGCGCTAGTCTTGTGTGAAGCCTGCGGGAACAGTGTAGCCTTTGACTTTGTTAATTCGAAGTACTTCTTATCAACGTTGTAAGTCAAGCGTGGTATGTCGAATGCCTCAACAATCTTGATCCAATTTCTTGGGTGTAATGAGAAGTCCAAGTCCTCATGTTCCTCATCGCTGATTGCTGGAGCTGGAGACAAGTGTGGGTTCAGTCGCCTGGCATCACAATTGAGGGCAGTCACATCTACCGGTCCTTCTCTTGTTGCATTCGTCTTCGCAGGAACTGCCCTTCCTCCGCTCATGTTGCCCTCTAAGGTCATCAAAATAGCCTTCAATGAGGCCCCTCTGCCCTCCTCAACGATAACGCCGCCCCCGGCCTTTTTCCAGCTTTTGGCTACTTCATCCAAGACTCGCTCCGCGAGGCCTTCTTCGCGCCATCCAGAGCCGCAATGTTTCCCTACAAAGGAAGCCAAAGTCTGCAGTGCTGAGGATGAGATGGTCAAGTTGTGCTTCCTGGTGAAAGTACGGAAAGCTACAGGTCGAAGCGTGGAGGGTGGAAGTAGAATTGGCAAGACTGATATCCTCGCGAGGGGAGGATTAAGATTCGATTTTCGCAAAGGACGTACCGGAGTGCCGAACCCTGGAGACGAAGAGAAGACGGGGTCTGAGTCCAGACACCTGTCCCCAGCAAGTGGTGTGTGGTCCATTTTTACTTCTGACGTGGTAGTAATTGCTTAGTCTCTTCAAAGTCTCTTCAGAGATGTCTCGGGATTGAGGACCATATGTAAGTAGCTTCAAGGAGGATGAGCAGGCTATAACTCATCCTCTGTGAGTCTCACTGCTTTGGTCATGACAGAAAAGGGATAATCTGAAAAGTTAAACACGATGCTGGGTAGGGACGATTATGGGTGATCCCAGATGACGATGATGATGATGATGATATTGTTGCTGTTTTTGAAAACTCGAAACACTATGTATGTACCTCTCTACTCCATAAGGTAATGGACCTTCAGAGAGACGCGTGGTTACGGGTGCTCCACATATGCGTACGCGCTGTGTCCGCGACTAGGTCAGAGTAGGTTTGGGCTAAGAACTTACTAATCCTCTGTGCTGATAACTATACTTCGTCCTTCCAACATTCCGCGAAGCAGAGCTCAGCTTTGCAGCTCCATTTTTCCAGTCTCATTTGGATGTGCTTCGTTTCTCATTTTTTAAGAAGTGCCTGCTGATATCCCGAGCCTACTACATCCCACGATATCCTTGCCCTGACCGTCATGGCAGAGCTTAACTCAGCAAAAGCAGACCCAATGACGCTGAAAAACACCGCAGATGCCAAGCGTGTACAGTTAGAAGATCTGATCGCACGAGCTGCGGCGAAAGATGCAATCAAGGACTTCAATGCAGCTGCTGAGCTTTACTCCCAAGCAACGGAACTCCAAGCTGAGCTGAACGGTGAACTGTCACTTGACAACGCTGATCTGCTGTTCGCCTACGGCAAAGCTTTATACAATGTGGCTGTGAGCAAGAGCGATGTCCTAGGGTCAAAGGTAGCTGGAGAGCCTCAAGCGCAAGCAAATGATCTGCCTGCAAGCAGCTCCAAATCCTCCGCGCATGTGCCTGGCGAGAGACTTATCAAAAATGCCATCGCTAGTGGGGTGGCTAAGCAAGAACATTCCAAAGATTCGAAATCCAGTCCTGGAAATTCTTTGAATCAGCCCTTTTTCCAATTCAGTGGCGATGAGAATTTCGATGATTCGGAATCTGAGGCAGAAGAGGGCGATGGAGGCGCCGATGGTGTTGATGATGACGATGACGATTTTGCCAACGCCTTTGAAGTCCTGGACTTGGCCCGTATACTCTACCGCAAGAAGTTGGCCGCAGCAGAGGAATCATGTGAGAAGGGAAAATCCGCCGGCCTGGTGTCCGATGTCAAACACATCAAGGAGTGCCTCGCAGATACGTACGATCTACAGGCAGAGATTTCACTTGAAGGGGAGAGATTCACGGATGCGGTGGCGGACCTCAGGACTGCACTTGATCTGAGGCAATCACTGTTTTCGATGGAAGATCCTTCCCTTGCTGAGTGTCACTACAAACTTTCGCTCGCACTAGAATTCGCATCTGTCAACAATCCCAGCGAAGGCACTGCTGGAGGGGACAGTGACCGTCATGGCAAGGTTGATGAAGCTATGAGAGAAGAGGCTGCGACTCAGATGGAGAAGGCTATTGAGAGCTGTCGAGTCAGAATGGCCCAGGAAGAGAAGAAATTGGATGTATCAGACGCCTTGGACGAAGACAGAGAGACAGCTCTAAGAAGGAAAATAGCGAATGTCAAGGAGATCATTGAAGACATGGAGCAGAGAGTTAGTTCTCAAGAACGTTCTATTTCTTTGTTGCCCGGTTACTCACGAATCACAGCTCCTAGATCTTCGTCGTCCGCCTATGTCGGTTGAGCAACAGAACGAGGAAAGGGATACAATGCTTAGAGGAATTCTAGGCCAGATTGTAGGTCAACCAGCTGTTGAGCAGCAAGCGCGACTGGAAGCTATTACAAAAGATGCCAAGGATCTATCTGCATTTGTCAAAAGGAAGCCAGCTAGCATCCAACGTCCGCCGCGCAGTGAATCTGCGGAGAAACGCTCGGCTCCAGCACAGGATGAGGAAGAGTTCATCACGAAGAAGTCACGGACGGAAAGCGCTGAGAATGTATGATGATTTGTCACCCGTCTTCCTTTTCACCAGCCTTCCCTCAGTGTGGCCATACCCTGCTACGCTCCGGCTGGCCGATATAACTCGTTGCTCGATTGCCAGTTTGTTGATTCTCGTCTCACTATGGGGCTATTTCTTTTTTTCCTTTTTTATTTTGACTTCCTCTTGAAACTTCCTCTTGATACCCAACCTTCATGTCATGCAGCGGCTTCATAAGTGGCTAATCTGACATATGCGCTTGGTCCAACGCTTCTAGACAGCTAATACAACGGTCGCTACAGTCATTATGATTTCAGCGCACCACTGGAAAGAAGCTGGCGTGAAATGAAAGAGATTAAACAAAAGTATGGTTGTGAACATCCTACCAAGTCCCGAAATGACTTCTGGGCCTCAATATGCTCTTCAAGACGGGAACCGAAACAACGGGAGATGGCGATCCAACTTCCGACTCCTTCGGCGCACAGCCAAACTCGGACTCCATATCCCGGCAAATACGTCTTCACACTCGTCCTCATCCTGGCTGTCAAACTCGATATGCTCATCGCGGTTTATGTTGTCCGAGGACGCAGAGCCCACGAGGCCAGGCGATACGGGTTGATTAGTTTTGCAAGGGGACCCCCATGATGACGACATAGCTATTCGTTTTGTTTCCAAGATAAACTTTCCGACCTTATATCGCTGGGACTCTTCCTCTGCGGATATATACTTCCAGCCGAGCACATTACCGCAGTATGCACAACTAATGTCGCTGACCGTATGAAGTCCGGTGACGTATTGACGTGGAACTGGTTTATGTATCACAGTGTTGGGCAGCGATTCAGCCTGCGACGTTGACCTGCTCATAGAAATAGCACTGGCGGTAGGCTCTGCAGAGACGAGGTACGCGCGGCCATGGCGACCAGTAAACCCTTTGCTGATGATTTGGGGCTTGAGGCACAACTCGGCTCCACATTTTGAACAGCAGAGACATGACACATGCCCAGTAAGATATCTATTGTTTTCATTACCATGAGTATCTGCTTTCACTGTTGAGGGCTCGTGGTTGGCATTGTGGCGCCTTGGATGGAAGACTATAGACGGTAATAAGAATTTAGGAAACATGGGTGAAGGAGTTGGTCTTATTTTGTCGAGAGATTATACGCGGTGCGGGCTCAGGTAAATAATTGATTAAATGCTCCATGAAAACCAGACCAAGTTTGACTTTGCATCGGGTCACACTGAGGTCATTGACTGTCCAGCATCCAAACTACTCAAGTGCCGGGGATGGAAGCGCCTTTACAAATCAGAATATGTTTCGCATTCATAACTCTGGTCATTAATATAACATGTAGTTGTGAAGACAGTATTACTGCCAAACTGATGCCATTCAATAAGATATTTCAGGAGATAGAGTATTAACAAGGCAAACTCAATGCAACACCTAAAACTAGAACTACAGACAGCCTTACCCACCTAAATTAAATAGTAGTAACAAGGATGTATCACAACTTCTGCTTCGCTATTACTATTGTAAATTAGGACTGCACTTTCCCTAAGCAATATAAAAGATTGCTTTGCCAAAGGACGCCCGCAATATAGATCTTAATTATAGAGCACTCTAATTACAATACAATCATATCGAAGCAGAAAGTCCTAGTGAGTACTAACCTTCATAAAGCACAGGTTACGTAAAGGCAGTACATTTGAAAAATGATTAATTCCTCTTTAGAACTGGGTGACACGGACATCAGACGGTAAAGTGAATAGACGCCAGAAGTTCTATAAAAATGATGGATCGTCAAATGACTTGACGTTATCAGACCTCTGCACATAGGAAAAACCATTTTGTGCTCAGGCAGTGCTCAACACACTGCTCAGGAATCCAAGGTTTCAAAGTTGTCAGATTAAAACCACACCATCCCAGGTTTCTCACAATCTCGGAATCTGTTACCTCTTGTGAACGGGGAATGCACGCAACAATCTGAGAACATTCAAACATAGGCATGCTGGCTAGCTCGAACAGGGCGATCAACCTGGAAAGAGAAATAATAGACGTCAGTCCCGAAGGAAGTCGTAGTGATTCGCTGCAACTCTCATTCGATGACGAACTTACCCAGCTTTGAGTTTGTGGCCAAGCACACTGTCTTTGAAGAACAAGAACAATGTCCGCTCATCATTCAAATCAGTCAAAAAACCTCGATAAATTGCATCGCCAACGTAGTCCCAAACTTCGACCCAGTTTCGAATTGGCCTTTTTTCACGCCCGGTCCAGTTCGGCCGGCTTTGGTACGCATCCATCCCAGGCGACTCTTGCTGCGCGAACTTCATCTCACCAATGAAAATCGCGCGCAATTTGTCGCAGAAGAGCCTCTCACACTCTTCCGGAATGGTATACGTTGCCTCCCCTTTGTATTCAGGCAATTGATTGCCCGGCCAGCTGCTCCCTACGGGCGAAGGAACGGCTAGCGAGCGGGGAGGACTTGAAGAGGGGTTTTTCGACCCTGAGGGGACCTCAGGGATACCACTGTGCTCCTATACGATAATGGCAGATGTCAGCGTACATAATGATGCAGAATATTGGATTTTAAGAGTGGGCAAATCTTACCGGCCCCCGTCGTGGTGCAGTAGTGGAAGCCGCTGACCATGGAAGTCAAAGCATCAACGCTGTAGCAGCTTGCGAGTACGCTAGGTTGGGAAGTAATGCCAAAGGACCGCTGAAGCTGGTTGGAGTTACTACTTTGATTATTGATGGATTTAGCCATAGCGATAGCTCTTTTGTGGACTAAATCTTGACGGTGGCAGAGATTTGACAAGGATTTATTGTAAGTAGATATTATTCAGGTAGTGTTGGAAGAGCAATTAAATGATAGTAAGTACTGGTAGTTGATTTGGGGCAAATGGGATTCCAAATAATGTCACTTTGCTGATTGAGTGCAGCGAGATAACAGGGGTAGGATCGAGGTTTTGAGGAGATGAATTCCGTTTAAGTCATAGTCATACGAGGCTCCATCGGCAAAGGAACTCCGCCAACCTTGGGCTCTAGTCTTTGGTACTCCGTATCTAGCCTACTATCCCTAATCAGTGGAGACTGGCCAGATCATTACTACTCCTCAGTATCGACTCGTCGACCCCGGAATATTCTACCAAATTGATAAAAATGATTAGAGCAAACCAACGACGAAAAAGACGGTATCATAGAGAAACAAAGCTTGCCAGAGAACAAAAATGTCGCTAATGATTATATAAAGGTAAGTTTACACTTCACCGCGGGGCAGCTACTGAGGGCAGCTACTGAGTCGGTCTTCGTATCCTGTATCCTGCTGGGTCCCTGATAGTTTCGTGCTCAGGTGTCAAACATTAGCCCAGTACTAACTATAACGTACTGGCGTATCACAACATTTCCAGATTGCTTGGACTTTGCTGGTGGTTTGAGTATAAAACAAACTTCTGTGGATCAAACGAAACGATCTCTTTCAGAACATTATATGAAAGCCCGTAAAGGGAAATTTCCATTCGCTGAAATTGGAGAAAAAATGAGGAGTCGAGACTATGTACACTGTGAGGGTCTCTGAGAAAGAACCGACAGGAATAAGAGATATGGAAGTCATGATACAACATGCTGCGATGTACAATTATCCTACCACACCCTCTTATAACTCACGATAATCGCTTGGTCTTATTCTTCGGTGTCTTCCTTGGTGTCGCTGAGGATTCACGGGTTGTCTGAAATATGGGGAGTCTTCTTCCCTCGCAAATGGTGAGCTAAATGAAGTCCGTTGTTGATTTGAGAAGTGGCCAACGCCTGGTCCTTGCTGAAAACCCGCATTCGGGGGAATCGGTCCCGCCATCTGGTTCATGCCCATCATCTGCATCGAGCCATTCCCCATGTTGGAGTACATGTTTGCCTGACCGTATCCATTCATTGCACCACTCTGTTGACTACCATAAATGCCATCTTGAAGGGAATCGAATCCCAGAGTATTCATTGGATTCCATGCTTGATTCATATTATTTGGGAAACCATTTGTAGGAAGGCCCAAAGGATTCATAAACCCCATTCCTCCACCAATGAACCCAGCCTCAGTGAATGGCATTGTAGGCATGCTTTGCGGATTCATAAAGCCAAAACCAAAAGGCATTGGCTGGTCGTGGGTGATGGATGAGACCTCATTCGAAGAATTCTGAGTTTGTGGGTTTGTCGACACGGTGGCCGCTTGAGATATGGGATCAGATTTATGCTTCTTGTTCGACGGGCTCAAATTCGATCCTTCATGGTCGGTGCTAGGAGGCTTTTCGTCCGCTGGTCTTTTCTTCGTAGCCGAGTCCAGAGCGCCGTTGACTGACGGCAATGATGATAGCTCCTTTTCCGCAGCGACAGTTCTCTCTGAATCAGATCCTTTACTGTTGGATGGGCTATCATGCACGGTGAGATTTTTCTGCGTGTCTTTTCTCGAGTCCGCCTTTTCATCCTCAAAGGCTTTGATTTTCAAAAGAGCCTCATCATCCACCGAAAGATTGTCAAGCAAAACACCTTCTGTGGCGCAGCCAGGGCAAACAAAATCACTCTCAATCAATGCATTGGTAATACAATCATTGCAGTAAGTTCGGTGGCAGCATGGTGTCTTAGTGGGCTCTAGGAACATACGTTTATCAATAGGGCACTCCAAACCCCAGGACTGCAATTCTTTGCTGTACTCCGCTGCTGCGGCTTCTGCCGCCGCTGCTGAAGAAGCCTTGGCCTTCTCCTGGTACAACTCCCAAGCTGCTTTGTCTGGCTTCGCAATGACGAAATCGCCATCAGCATTAACCATGACACCTGTATTTCGAAGATCTTCATTCGACCCGTCAAGTGCCAATGATTCCGGCTTCTCAACCTTCGTTTGGAGCGAGCGTGGTATACCAGTAGATCGCTTCACTCGGTATTTGCCATCGAATTTTGGATCATTGTTAGTCGGACACGCTTGGATCCAGTGGCCTAGAAAAACATATCGGTTAAACCTTGATTCCCAAATTCAACACTGGTTGTCTCACCTTTTTCTCGACAGCGGTAGCAGAGATATCCAGGAGGCGGCGGGTGATCAGGAACATTGACAGCCTTTCCTCTCCCACGACCGAAGGGTACAGGCGTAGCACTATTGACTTCTATTAGCACTACACCAGCATGTAATAGGTATATGCATACTTTGCCATCTCCTGTTGTTGCTCTTTCCATTGGCTAGCTTGCAGGTTGAAAAGAGCATTAATCTTCTCCTCCTCTGTCTGCGCGTTATTGAGCTCTAAAACGCTGTTGCTCACTGTGTTGCTAGTATTTGATATAGCTCGGGTCGACATTGAAGCATCATTACGAGGCGCGCTGCGAGCGCTAACGGGCATTTTCCCAGATACATAACGAGCAGCGCCGCCTTTGCCAGGCCGAGAGGCAGGTAACCTTCGAGCGATAACAGAAGTGGAACGGGGAATGATTGTGGTATCATCATCATACTCTGCAAGCATAGTCAGCGATGACGCTTTTTTAATTTCCTTTTTTCTAATTTTCCTGGTTTTTCCTCCAAGCACCAGCCCGAAGAGAAGTAATGGGGACAAAACCATAGAGCTTACCTTCGCCTGTATCCTCATTATAAATAGACAATTCAAAATCCGACCCATCGCCCAATCTACTCTGATTGATAATTTCACGTTTCAATTCAAAAACAGAAATACCGGTCCCGTCGAAAGTTACCCTTGAAGGCTCTTTTTGAGACTTGAACTTGAAGTGAACAGAGGATGACATTGTATTTGAATTGCGCGTCCAGCAAGTGAGTTTGTGAATGTAATTAGATCAAAATAGAAGGGACGACACCTTTCTTCAAATTGAAGCATACAAGTGACAGGAAAATCACGGAGAGAAAGGAAGCAACACTGAATTGGATGGCAGATCGCCAATAACAGACGGTGACTCAATTTTCCTCGCTTCAGGTAAGTCCAGAGATCACGAAGACGGGAGTGGAATGGCAATGCTCGATAACTGTACTTTCGAAAGATTTCCCTTGGGTCCAAACAGTGACTGTTGCGAGTTACTGTATACAAATAAACTCGGACCTGTTGATGATGAAAGTTGAGAGGCAGCTGATCTGCAGTGAGGAACAGTCGGTCAGAGAATTCGAGCCTCTTGCCAATCCCAAGACCATAGGAAGGTCACAAATGTCCTGCTTGCCCACGAAACCTGACGTCCGAGATATGCCCTGAGAAAAATGTCCCGCAGCGAATGTATAATTGATCGCGTCTAGATTGACTACTGGCATACAACCCTGAGATGACAGCAAAATGAGGGAACTGGAGTTGAACGAAGTGAAGAGCAGCGGCTGTAGATCCGAGTGGCGTTCTTGGGCCTACTGGACAGCCGCCAGTGTTCAAATAATGGAGGTAACGGAATAATATGAACGAGGTTCAAATCACATTAACAGCAAGCAGCAAGTAGCAAGGAGGCGAAGGGTGATCTATAGCGGAACCGAATTATGTTAAGAGGAGGAGAGTGTTGTCCTTCAGCACGGACGGAGGGGAACTTGAGATGATTAGAGTATCTACTCCACGCGTAGATGAAATTTGCTGCGATGAGTTGAGGCGGTCTGTCGGTCATGTGACCTTGTTTTATAAGCAACCCCCATTGTCACAGCATGTGACTCCTACATCATGTGACGCGTCCTTTCAGCCCCTAGGCGATCGCTGCCATGTAGATAGGGTTGAATAAATCGAGATTTCCCGTTTTCATGCAAGTATTCCGTATCTGAAACAAATGTCGACGCAATGGGCATCATTTAGTGTAATTTTGATGTGAGTCATTCTATATACAGTTAAAAACATACAAGCATTAACCCAAGCACGCCGCTCTTCTCTGATGCGAACTCTATTAGCTAGAACTTCATAATACTGCCTACAATGGGGTAACAAGGGCGCAAGATGGGCGCTCGTCAAACTGTATGCCATCATTCGTCGCTTTCGAAGTTGCGGACTAGAAATCCCTCATTCCGGAGGTGTTCCTTGACCTGCCCAACAGTAAACTCACCACGATGGAACTGTGGCCTCGTTAGCTGAGAAGTAATGGGACGATGAAGGCGGCTCATACCATTCCAGCACCTAATGCCGCATCGGTGGTCGTATATCGGAAGACATCTTCGAAATGCTTTGGCACGCCAGCCCCACTTGAAGCGATGACAGGGATTCTGATAGCAGCCTTGACATCTTTGATCAGCTCCAGGTCAAATCCACTGTTACTTCCGTCCTTGTCGATACAATTCAGTAGAATTTCGCCAGCACCCATGGCCTCAACAGCCTTCACTAGCTGTCGGACGTCAATATCACGACTCTCTCTGCCACCCTTGATTGTGCACTGATACCAGCAATAAGTCTGGCCGCTAGCGTTCGGGTACTTCGTTTTGATCGTGTGGTGCTCGGTGTCATCCGGGCTTGTGACATAAACTCGCTTGGGGTCAACGCTCACAACCACAGCTTGGTTTCCATAAGCCTTCGAAATTGTCTCGATGGCAGTTTTTCCGGTAAGCTTCTCGCCGCGACAATAGTACTCCTCAGCTGCAATGACTGCATCCGATCCAATGCTGACTTTATCGGCCCCAGACTTGAAATACATTGTAGCAACGTCCAGAGCAGAAATGTGAGTCCCGTCAGGATCGATAGTGTCCTTGATACCGCCTCCAATTGTCAGAGGAACAAAGACGGTCTCCGATGTTCTTCTCAATATTTCCAACATTGGGGTATCTACGAGCGGGCAATTCCGAAAAGACGTGATATTGAGGAAGGTGACCTCGTCCGCCCCTTGCTCGTAGTACCTCTTTGCCATGTCAACCGGCTTTCCCAGATTTCTTACCTGACCTCCTGCATCCACGCCGACCTTCTCTCGCACATCGTACTGATCACCTTTCGTGACGACCAGATCACCAGCATCATTCGTACGGACATCAAGACAGGCGATGATCCTGCGGGTCAACCCGTCTTCCCTCTTTCTTGCCTCCAGACCCTCCGTTCCGATTGGCTGGTATTTGTCACCATTCAAGAACGCACGGAGAGTCCGTAGTCCAGCTTGTCCGCTTTTCTCCGGATGAAATTGCGTTGCAAAGATATTCTCCCGAGCGATGGCGCCAATAAATTCTTCATCACCGTACGTGGCCGTAGCAACTGACCAGCCGTTGTTCTCTAATACGCCGGCCTTGTAGAGAGCTGCGAAGGAATGAACGTAGTAATACTTGCTGTTCGGGTTCAACCCATAGAAAGTTTGCCGCTCAGAGGTTGTATTCATAGCCGAATTCCAGCCTATGTGAGGCACGCTCTTCGTGTCAGCGTTGAATTTCTGCATTCGTTGTGGGATCAGCCCCAATCCGGGGGTGTCGGAATCTTCTTCGGAACCCTCGAAAAGCGCCTGCAGACCAACACATATGCCCATGAAGGGCTTCCCCAGCTCTATATGCTGTCTGATCGGTTCCAGGAAGCCACCTTCGGAAAGCTGAGAGAGGCAATGGCCGAAATGGCCAACTCCGGGCACCATGAGTCTCTAAGATGGCATATGTCAGCTGTGAATCGTGCAGCAGCAGAAACAAGACTATCAGCAGAGAAGAGTGCGCACATCAGCATTTTTGATATCGGCCGGGGACTTGACCCATTCAACATCGAACCCAACTTTGTTGATAGCATTCACCAACGAGCGGACATTTCCTGCGACATAATCGAGCAGGTGAACAGTCGGCATGGCGGCAGTCCGGTACCTCAAGCCGTAAGACAAGGTGCTGTATTTCAATACTGGAGTAGAGTAGAGACGGGATCACAGGCTCTGTCTGGCTTGGGTAAGCCCGCAGGCATTCGGGGACAGAGAGAATGAATGATAGAAAGTGGCTTGGGAAGAAGAATAATCACCCTCATCATTTATTGCCAAACATCACTCCCCACCACGGCGGGGGCATTTAGCTGAGTCATTATTCAAAATGATAACTAACTAACTAGTTAACAACTTTTTTTTTTTTTTTTTTTTTTTTTTTCTTGCCCACATCAATAATCTAGACAGCTGACCGCCTTAGCATCCACTTTCTCACTACTACTACTACTTTGGGTTCGCATAGTCTGAAGCTAGCTGACAATGCAGTCTAGTAGATTATTGTACAAGAGTACATTCTATCCTGAAGTGATCTTACCCTGCTGGTCGGCCCCTGTGACCCAGCAGTCATTGGAACCCACTAAGGTATGAATAGAATAATAAACCTGCCTGACCAATGGAAGCCAATGTTCCCCTTTATTTGTTATTTTGAATCTATAACCCTTTATTGCAATGGTTCATGCAAAACAATCTTGAAATGTTGAGTCAGGCGGTCTGTGGATATCGCTTGGCTGAACTAAACGCTATATCGCGAACAAGCGCTCTATAAAATGTCATTCCCACCGGAAAGACTGATGATCAATGGCAAATCCGAAGCAATGTTCTGAGAATTTTGAAGATAGATGAGGCCGTTTCGAGGCTACATTTGTGTAAGCTTTTGGTTGAGTCCGGAAGGGACCGTGTGGCTTACCGGGGAAAATTGTCTCAGACATACTCCAGCAGCTTTCAAGATCGCAGCACTCTGCCTTCTGTCAGCTGTGTTTACTAAAGTGTGGTGATTCAGACAAACTTCTTGGTCCATATTGTATCCTTGGGAATACACAACTTCCGATATACCGACTTGGGCGATCTTGACTGTACACGTCAAGCAAGGGCATCTACGATCATCAACAGCTGGAAAGCAACGAGCAGGGGCTGGGAATCTGACGTATCGCAATAGAGTATTGAGCCTTCACGTATACGCTCTCGCCCTGCTTCCAACAAAGCGTTCTCTTCGGCATGAAGGCAAAGGCATGTCGATAGACCAACACCTCCTCCTTCTCCACGGTTGCATCGTGGACCTGGTCGATGTAAGTTTCTCTTACAAAAGCACGAGAAGATCAAAGGAAAGCTGCAGGCCTTCGGGAGATTTCATACATCCACCTTCGTTGCAGTTGGTAAGATGCCGAGGAGTCCCGTTGTATCCGGTGCTAATTACACGGCGCTCCCTAACAAGCACACAGCCCACTCTTCTCTTCATGCAATTGCTTCTCTGCGCGGCGAGTGAAGCTAGTTGCATGAAATACTGGTCCCAATTTGGACGTAGACGTTGCTCATCAGCGAGATTCAGGGCTTCTAGAGCAGCATGCAGTTCCTCCAAAGAAGAGCAAGAGTTGAACAATCGCACTTGCGCACGATCCGTCAGATAGGCGCGTCCGATTTCTTTATCGTAAAGGTGCCGATCGTTCCATATAACAAATCTTTCAAGCGGAGGAGGATCAAGCTGTCTCCTTCGGCACCTAACAATGGAGTGAAAATATTATATTTCAATACAGCATACATTGTTGAAGGCATAGGGTCTTGGCAGGGGAATTACCTATCTGTGAACCGCTTCCACCGAAGACTAACTGGCGCATCAACGCTCACTAGGAGGAAAAATGGTCGTTGAAGAAAACGGTCTATGGTCGCTGCATCCCAGATATCCGTTGTGACCCAGCGCTCCCTCCATCTTTTCGTTGCAAAGTCTAGGAGGGATTCAACGCTATCGAATAAGAATTCCGAATTCCTCTTGTTGCTGAGTTCCGAAGCTTGTAACCGAAGATCGTCTTCTGGGTCATCAGTTATCCGAGGGTACTTTTTGTTGTTCAACTCAAGGAGTTGGAACTCCTGGTGTTCAATGAGGTAATCTGCGATGGCGTGCTTGCCTGAGCATATTCCTTTCCCCTCCAGTGTCATTAGTCCATCATGTTGTGGAATATTTTCGTCATGAAGGGTTCATACTAACCTCCACACAAGCCAATCAGCATTTCTTGGCCCTGACAGCAAGATGCAAAGGATGTCCGGTGAGGTTTGTGTGAAGTGGCAGATCCTTCAATCAGTATGGTAATGAATTTGTTTTTTTCTCCTATTAACGCATTACAAGCTGATGTTGATACCAGTGGGCTATCCAGTTGATTTTTCAAACAAAATCGCGTCTTGAGGTAACCAGAGGTACGTAGAACCTACAGACAATAATAATTAAAAAGATCCAAGTCATAAGCAATGGCCTAGCCGCGTAGGATATACTCAGTGGGGTAGGAAGAACTTAGCGTCATCGATGTATGATAATCAACAAAACCCACATCGTGTAGCCCCTCACTATTATTTATATATATTAACTTCTAAGACTACAGCTAGACGTAAGGTAAGTTAATAGTAGCAGAAATCAGAAATGAGCACAGATCACAGAATATTATTAAAACCTAAATGACAAAGATACTGAGGAAGGAAGAGCCTGACAGTACAGAGTATCTGGCAACACCGACTGGACAGTAGATAACTTACTTCCCTGCGTGGGTCAACCAAACTACTATGAATAAACTGGCGAATTCCCAAACAAGAAGGCAGGGAGACTGCCCTAGTCTGCACCATTCATCGGCCATCTCGTCTAGATATTCCTGGCTCCATTAGTCTGTGTAGATTCTATGTCTGGTATTATAGTTGATAATAGTAGATACTACTGCCTGTTGACCCCTCCGCGAGATAGCAGACTGGGTATAATGTAGGTATGCTCGTAAACTAGGAGTGAATAGTAACATCTTACAGGGCCTAAAAGAGCAAACTCCGGAGGGTAGTAAGAATTTACAGGAATAAGAATGATCTCAAAGTAGATATACATAATTTACAAGTGATCTATCTCAAGCTATCGAGTATCTCTCTTTTCTTTTCTCGGAACTTCCAGGAGTAATGGACGAAGTGACGGATTGTGGATAGGGTTGGCCCATGACCATTATCATTTCTGACCTAGTCAGCCGGTCAGGAATGATGAATAACGGGGAAGAGGAAAGGTCACATTGCTTTACGGAGCACTTAAACCTGTATGTATGGAGTACCTCTTGTAATATGCTATAAATCCGGGAAGTTAGCCTTGCCCGCCTTATCAGCTCCGTTGTCATTTATTACTACTACTTTTCCAGTACTAGTACCTCTCTACTTCCTAGGTATTATTACTCCACCGTCTGATACAGTTGCTCTTGAACAGTTTAACGCTCGTCATCATAATCAGAGCCCTTATTAGCAGAAGCAGATCCAGATATACCTGCGGCTCACTCGTTAAATTACTGAGATAGGGCCCAGGGTCCTGCAACATCCACCCCGGCGTGATAACCGTACAAAATGCAGTACGCTCCATTTGCCTCGGACATTGAACTCCCATTCTACACAGCTCTAGCTACATTGAAGATAGACCGTGACAAACTCGATGACTCTGCTCGCAAAGTATTAGGCCTGTACGAACTGCGCCCTACAGACGCACCGAATAATTCATGTCGGATGCAGATACATGGAAATGCCCTCACCAGCGACGAGTGAGTCCATAGTCAGAGCTCAACTTCTACTTTCTTTTACAACTATCTCGGCGATCTGTAAGGTCCAGAGGGTATGATTGCTAATTGATGATGGGTTACACCAGGGTACCGGAAGGTTATTACAGAGCTGAAGGGACGATCAAAAATTGTAATACTTTTGAAGAATACCGCGACATTGATAAGCCTCAGATGTTACAACAAGCAGGGCAAACGGTCAGCCTCACGGTGCAAAAGGTTCAATGAAGTTTACTAATGATATCCCCGAAAGATACGCGATGCCATAGAGGACGGCAGCATCTACTTGTGTCCGTCAAAATTATCTTCTTTCATGATACTGTCATTCGCGGATCTCAAGAAGTATAAGTTCCACTACTGGTTTGCGTTTCCTGCACTTCATTCAACCCCTTATTGGACTCCTGTACCAAATGCTGGGAAGATCATTGGCCATACTCCGGTTGAACCGATTGATAGGGCATCATTCAAGGCCTTACCCACTTTTGAAAGTTCGACTCTTGTGGAAGCAGTGCAGACCTGGTCCCGCAGCGTCGAAGCTTGTCAGCGAGGCTTCTTCCTCGCAAGAAAGTATTGCGACTCTGATGGCAGAGCTGGGCATGATGCCAGGGGGACGCCCGAAACAGCAGATGGGACATTGGTGGCGACTTCACAGCTGACCGCCGGACACAGCTGGAAGATTGCTTCTCTAGCACGTTATGAGAGCGGGTTTTTCGATGGGGCGCAATTCGAGGACAGCTTCATCTGCTTTGCCGATCCTTCGAACTACGACGATGCGCCGGGTTGGATGCTGAGGAATCTACTATTTCTCATCAAGCGACGGTGGGGTCTACGAAGAGCCCAGATTTTGAGGTATCGCGATACACGTCGCGAAATGGGTCGCAGCATGGTAGTCACAGTGGAATGCAAAGCTCAGCCGGTGTCACAGCCGGCGAGTCCTCCTGAAACAGTGAACGGAGCGCCCAAAGTGACTGGCTGGGAACGGAATTCAGCGGGAAAGCTGTCAGGGAGATTGGTGGACCTCACAGAGTACCTAAATCCTAAAAGGTGAGCAGGTTACGGGATGTACCACTCAAGGTATTTGTGTGCGTCTAATTCCGCGGCGCAATAATTAGGCTAGCGGATCAGTCCGTTGATCTCAATCTGAAACTCATGAAATGGAGGATCAGCCCGGATCTCGATCTTGAGAAGATCAAACGCACCAGATGCCTCCTACTTGGAGCTGGGACGTTAGGAAGCTATGTTGCTCGAAATTTAATGGTACGTCTTCCCATATTTCTATTGAACATACATTCACCGAAATGCTGGCCTCTAGGCTTGGGG